TGTAGATGGAGTGGGGAAATTTTCATAACATGTCAAACTTTCTTGGTTTGAAAGACTTCCCCCAAATCCAGCCTAGCATTGCCCTGCCAGCAGCCCCCAACCCCTCCGAACCACACTTTTTAACCCTTTGCTAAAAGGCTTTTCAATATAGGGTCAGTTTTAGATACTAGCGTTTAACAGAATCTATTTGTGTTAGAGAATAACCAATCCAACTTTTGTTCAAACTGGCCCTAGTACAATATGCAGTCAGAAATAGCAATGTGACACATGAAAACTGCACCCATCTGTCCCCTGTCCATACGTCTTCAGCTCTAAAATTAGATCTCAGCGAATCTTGTGCACGTTCACTCTTTGATCCGGGGTCTCATCTGAGCCGGAATGAAATATGTCACATTTCATTCATAAAAGACATGATTAAAACAGACAATCAGTTATGTTGGGAAAAAATACGTTCCCCTAGGCCCAAAAACTGTTTTATTTTGAGAGCCTGAATACACAAAAAGACAACAGCCAGACCATATATGACAACAAAAATCTGACCCACAACCTTGCAGCAACCAAGCCAAAAAGCCAAACCACAGCCTCGGCAACAATCAGCCCAGAAAGGTCTGATGTTGGTCCACGACTGCCAGCTGCCCATTTTACAGCCTTTGCTTCCAATTCAAGGTCAACCAGAAAGACGCCAAATATGCCCCCCAGATCCGTCACATAAGATGCTCACTGCTAGGGAGCCTACCTGCAGCTTCCCCACGGCAACAATCGGAGCAGACCTGAGCCTCCCTGTTTCCATGAAAAACTTCCCCCCCTTCTCCCCGTCTGCCCTTGAGTCTCTGCCACACGCCAGTGATGGCGACTGACCCCCCTGCCATACAGCAAGCTCTGGATAAACAGGCTCTGTGTGTCCTCATTTAGGTGATCTTCGTTTATTGCCATAATTTCAGTGCAGTCTTTTCTGGCCATAAAGTACAGCGTACGAAACAACAGTCATCTATACTCAATATCTTGTAATAACCTATAACAGAAAAGAATCTGAAAAAGAATATATACATATATATGCATGTATGTAGGTGTAAATGAATCACTTTGCTGTACACCTGAAACTAACACAACATTGTAAATTAACTACACTCCAGTAAAAGAAATGAGAACTTTATCCTTGTATAAGAATGCAATTGATAGTTATATACTGGTTTTTTAAATCAAATTTATTGTCATATCATTTACACGTGAATAAAGTTTCTGTAAGCAAACAAACAAAAAGAAATGAAAGTCCTATCTAGGAAGGCATAAAGACAAGAAACTCTAGATGCTGACCCAGAAAGATTCGAGAGGTAAAGCTCAGTCCTCACCTACACAAGCAGAACAGCCGAAAAGAGTGTTTTTAAAAGGGAGTTCTCAACTCCTGCATGCAGACCCTCACCCCAGTCCCACCGCGTCCCCACTGCACGACTTCAGGCAGGTAACCCGTAAGCTCTCTGAGTCTCAGTCTCCACATTCATAAAATGGGCATGAATACTTTGTACAGTGCCCATGATAATACAATGAGAGATACAACTTGAGCCTGGCACAGTATACGTAATTATTAAAAAGCATGAATTAATAGTATCGATTGCATATATCTGGAGAGAACCATAATTCAAAAAGATACATGCACCCCAATGTTCATTGCAGCACGATTTACAATAGCCAGGACATGGAAGACGAATGGATGAAGAAGCTGTGGTACATATGTAAAATGGAACATTACTCAGCCATAAAAAAGAACGAAATAATGCCATTTGCAGCAACACGGATGGACCTAGAGATTATCATAACTAAGTGAAGTCAGTCAGACAGAGAAAGACAAATATCATATCACTTATATGTGGAACCTGAAAAAATGGTACAAATGACCTTATTTACAAAACAGAGATAGAGTCACAGATGTAGAAAACAAACTCATGGTTACCAGGGGGGAAAGGGGAGGTGATAAACTGGGAGACTGGGATTGAGATATACACACTACTGTATATAAAATATTAATAGATAACTAATAAGGACCTACTGTATAGCACAGGGAACTCTTCTCAATACTCTGTAATGGCCTATATGGGAAAAGAATCTAAAAAAGAGTGGATATATGTATATGTATAACTGATTCACTTTGTTGTACACCTGAAACTAACACAACATTGTAAATCAACTCTACTCCAATAAAAAAAATTTGTTAAATAGTATCAATTAACACATAATAGTATGAATAACAGCATCAATTATAGGAAATAATAGTATCAATTAACACTTTCTGAACATCTACAGGGTGCCAGGCACCCTTCTAATTGCTTTACATGAAGCAACTAATTCACTAAATAATGCCGGTGATGATGGAGGGGATGTTTCATTTCCTGTGATGCACCCACTGACCACTTCTGTCTCCCTGACACAGAGTGAATGAGTCGGTGATGCCTGCCTCCATAGATTAGAATCTAGCCCCTCTTCTAAGCGTTGCATCCCCCTTTTCTCAACACTATATCAGGAGTTCTTAAATGCTCACAGGAGCCAGATAAGTGAGTGCAATGGGCCAGGTGTGGGACAATAGGGCGTAGTGGGGACTGGGGTGAACTAGGCGATGCATGATCCATCTAAAGGGGAAAGCCACTCCCTAACTACAGCCAACTGTTGCCAAGTTACCAAATCTTCAACACTTTCCAAGTAAATGACACTTGAGATCTCCCTATTATTAGAGGTTGGCAACTCTTTTAAATATTTTAAGGGATGCCGTATGAGCTTTAAAAAGAAAAAAAAAAAAAAAACCAGCATACATCTGTGGCCTAGATTTGCTATGACCACCAGTTTGCAAACTCTAGGCTAGATGTTCTTCCTTTGGGACAGTCCCAAGGCCCCACAACTAAAGGCCCTGTGGCTACTATTTCCTGGAGACTGACAATTCACGATTTGACCTCTCAAGGGAAAGTCAGTGTTATAGTCCATTTCAGCTCTAAAATTAACTTCTGTGGGAAAGAAAAAACTTGAGGGGTTTCTACTCACCATGAAGATAACACTTCAGGAGCCTCTACACTGTGGATGCTGGAACCTCTTCTGGTCTCAGCAGCCTCTCCCTCCCTAAATTGACCCTCAGCTCTGGCATGACTGAGCCACATGCAGCCTGGGGGGTGCGGCAGCTGCCCCCTCCTGTCTTCAAAAGGCAGTGGGCCATGGGGGTGAAGGGCACAGGCTCTAGAGCCAGACCACCGGGATTCACACTCACTGCTCCCTAGCTGTGTGACCTTGGGCAAGCTACTTAACCTCTCTGTGCCTCGGAAAAATGGGAATGATAGCCGTACTTGCCTCCTTGAGTTGTCTGTTGTCAGAATTCAGTGAGTTAAGGCATGTAAACAACTTAGAATGTGGCCTGGACCATTCTAAGTCCTCAGTGAAAGTTACCTAGTACTGTTTATGACATTCCCCCTGTCCTAAAATGCCTTTCCCAGCCAGGCTCCCAGACTTCCCTGACCACCAGGTCACCTGCTCTCCCTTTCCTCAAACTTCTCACCCAACAACATTCTCTCTACATCAGGGATGGCAAATAAGTTCAGTCTTAAGTGTCATACTCTCTACCTCACATGAATTGGTAGGGGCTGCCTGGAGTTCTGAGCTCAGTGCAGTAGACTAGTAATGTCTGCCACAGCAGAGGGAGTGCTGAGGTGCTGCAATTGACTGGTCATGTCTGCCCTGGGAAAGGGAGGGGCAGGAAAGCAGAAACCATCCCTTGGCCATCCGTGGTCTATAGTGAGCAGCTTGCACTGCCTTGCATTGGAAGAATCTCTGCAGAGCAAGAACTGCGTTTTAGACCACCCCAGCCCCACCAGTGGAGCGACTAGCACAGGGCTGGGTCCACACCAATTTCTGAATCAGTTTTACCACCAAGACTAACTCAAGGGGCTCCGAATAGGAAGCCCGCTTCCTGCGGGCTACTAAACCCACCTGGGATCTGCCAGAGCCTCGGGATCCTGTTGCCAGGCTCTGAACAAGCGCACCTCCAAACGGACATGATCTGGTACATCGGCCTCCGTCAGAATCAGAAGGACCATACTGGACTCACGATTAAATCTTATTTTTCCTCACCTGCACCCAGCAAAACAAAGCCCCACGTGCACTGCAGTTTGTATGTCTACCAGCTCGGCGTCTGAGGACCGGGAAACACCATAGCCGAAATTCAGTGGAGACCCCTCATGTGCCAGGCACTATTCTAAGAACTTTATTAACTTGTGTAATCCTCACAACAACCTTGGGAGATAGATCCCATTGTTATCCCCATCCTACCAAAGAGGAGGCTGAGGCCCAGAGAGGTTAGGTGACTTGCCCCAGGACACACAGCCGGTATGTAGCAGAGCTACTGCTGCTTCCTACTGCTACCCAGGAAGCTATGTGAGCAAAATAAGCTAAAGACAGGTTTGTCCCCCTAGCGCAGAGAAGTTCCTCACTTTCTGCAATCCTAAAACCAAGTCTTTGTCATATAGATAGAGACGGCTGCTTTGCTTTGACAAAGGATTCTTTACTGATGAAAAGCTGCGAGGTGGGAAACACTGTCTCAGGAAGCTCCTTCATGGATTTAGAAATTGGAATTCATTTACAAGGTGTCCACTTCCGGGCATTACGGGATGCTGCGTGGCACATCAAGAGGGCAGTAAGAGGTTCAGAGTATCACGTGAGAGCCTGAAGGGGACAAACTTGGACCTCACAGCCTGAACTGCTGCTCTCAACACAGAGGTTTTAATCCTGGCTTCACACCAGAATTATACTTAGGGGGTGCTTAGAAAACAGAGATGCCCAGGGCCCACCCCCAAATACTCTGCTTTACGGTGTCTGATATGCTGTTTTGATGGGTCTTATTTTATGTTTGTAAGTTTCCTCACGATGCTGGATCCTCAGCAAAGCATCAACAGCCACTTGATAGACTAACAACTCATTGATGATCAAGAGTTGATTTCCGTCCCATCCAACCCCGCAAAGCCTCTTACCTAAGAGTGAAGTGGTCAGCCACAGAGCCACTGGCCAGAGAGACCAGAAAGGTGGCGGTGTCCCCTTCCCGGATGAGGTTCAGAGGTACGGAGATGACGACGTTCTCATCCAGGCTCAGCGGGGACCACTTCAGATCGTCCTGGGTCGGGTAGACCACGACACTCCCAATCCTCTCCCGGGCTGCTGGCGCTGGCGGGGCGCTGTCCTGGCCCGAGTGGATGTTGTTCTCCCACTTGCTGTCCTCCTCCAGGGGACACTGGCCGGCCTGGTCGGCCGGGTACAGCGTGAAGAACAGCTCCATGGCCGTGCCGCCCAGCGGGGCTGGGGTCTCCTCCTCGGGCTCCAGGTCCAGCCCAGAGCTGAACCACTCGGGCAGCACCTCCAGCTCGGCCACACACAGCCCAGGGGTCCCTTGCAGCCGACAGCTGGCCGCCACTTCCCTGGCCTCCGGGAAAGCAAACATCTTGACGCAGGGGAGCTGTTCCGCTGGGTCGCCGTCGGCCCAGCCCATCCCGGTGATGTAAAACAAGGTCTGCACTTTGGGTCTGTTGGAGTAGATGGAGCTCCCGAGGATGTGGGCTTTCAACTTCCAGTTAAAGGGAAACTGGCCCGTGTGGCCAAAGGGTGCAGATGTCAGCATGAGCTCCCGGGGGACCGTCTTCTCGACTGAAAATGGCCCATAGCTGGCATTGACCATCGGGGGGCTCCTGGCTCGGTAGATAAAGAACGACTCCACCCGGGCCTGCAGACTGCAGTTCCGAGTGACGTCCTGGTTGGCCTCTTTAAGGACGAAGGACTCCTCTGCGTTAGAGACGTGGAAGCTCGTGGGAAGGTAAGCAGGGAGCGAGGAAAATCTCTGCAGGCTGTCCACGACGGCGCGGCTCTCCGTCACTGCACGAGAAACGGAAGCAGAGGAAGAGTGAGAGCCGCGTCCGCAAAGGTAATGAAATTAACGCAGGGCCGCCTCCACCCGTCCGCACAACACACCGCCCACTGGCCACGCCCACCCGACTCCTGGGTCTCCTCGCGGTGCAAGCCCTGCCATTACATAAAGTGTGCTCCGAAATAACCGGGGCAAGGGTGGGAAGGAGCCCCGTGTACCACTGATCCAACCGTCCTGTGACTGAATTACGCCCCCGCCCCCGGAGGGAAAACGTCGTACCGTCTTTTGCTCTTGCAAGGCCCCGAACTCACAGGATCGTGGTCATCTCTGTTGTAATCACCCCCCAGAGAGTAGGCTGCACACCTACCAAGTCCACTATACAACCAGGCATTGGACCACATTGTATACGACGTGTTAATGCTTGATTACTTTAATATTTATGCTTCTTCCCATCCCTCCTAGATGTGGTGTCCACGTGGATGCTTAGACATCGCCTAATTCTTTTTGAAATGAGGGTGAAGCGATGGCTCAGCATTCCCACTTCTAGAAATCTCTCCTTCCGAAACACGAGTGAGAATTCATAAAGATCTGTTTATCTACAAGGATGTCCACTGCAGCATCCTTTTGAATTGCAGACAAACTTATTTTATGTGCTGCAGCCAGAAGCCTGGATTTGAATCCTGGCTCTGCCACTTCCTAACTGAGCAACCTTGGGCAAGTTACTTAACCTCTCTGTGCCTCAAACGTCCTCATATAAAGTAGGATATAAATATAAATGATTGTAAGGATTAACGAGTTGATAAATATGAAACGCTCAGAACAGTGCTGACACACATAAATGCTCAATCTTTACCTGCTATCATCATTCTTATTTACTAGCTTAAACCATTCCGAAGGTTTATTATATTAAGAGGAGACCAGATAAACTATACCCTTTTACAACGGGGTAACAGGCAGCTCTGTAAGAAAAATGAGTCAGAGCTGTATCAGCATGTTTGAAAAAATGTCCACAGTCTGTCATTAAGCATAAAAAATTATAAACGTATCACATACGATCCTCTCTGGGTAATTTTTTAAGATTCTATATGTACATATGTAAACGTACATATATTTATGTTTGGTATCTACAGAATCCAGAAAGGATTTTTGCCTTTTACCACTTATGTTTCTACCTTCTTAAAACTTGTTATGATAATCATGTATTACTTTGTTAATTAAAATACATATAAATATACATAAACATGTATATGTGGACATGCGTATATGTATGTGTGTGTGTGTGTGTGTGTGTGTGTGTGTGTGTTTCAAAGTGAAGGCAGCCCAGCAGGAACGAGGGTTGGCATATCAGGCCAAGAACAGACAGGAATTCTTCCTTGACCTGAAATAAACCTCTGCCCCTGGAGCCCGGCTTCCAACCAGAGCAAGAGAAAATAAACCAGGCAGCAGTGTTTACAGTACAGCATCACCAGAGGATCAAAGGCAAATAAATACTCCATTGACTCTGAATCCTGGTAACATTTTTTCTGCAGCCGTTACAAATTCTGTGAAATACTGTTTTCTGTTGACTTAAATAATTTTTGGCCTTTTCTGGGCTGTCCTTGGTGAGCTTTCCTTTCCTAGTGGATGACAAAATTGTAATTAGGAGATTGTGAAACAGATACAACCACGAAGGGGCTGACCCATACTTTCTCCAAGAAGGTGTTCAGAAGGCAAGTTCTCTGTGAAATGCTGCACCATCTCACTTACACGCAGAATCTAAAACAGTCAAATTCATAGAAGTAGAGAGTAGCATGGTGGCTGCCAGGGGCTGGGGGGAGGGGAAAGGGGGATGTGGGTCAAAGGGTACAAAGTTTCAGTTAAGCAAGATGACCACGTTCTGGAGAGCTAATGTACCGCAATGTGACATAATTAACAACCCTGTACTGTACATTGTAATTTGCTAAGAGAATGGATTTTAAAATCAATCTTCTCAACACACACACACACACACACACACACACACACGAGTGAAAACTAGGTGGAGGTAATGAATATGTTAATTAGCTTGATTATGGTGATCATTTCACAATGTACACATATATCAAAACATCCAATTGTACACCTTAAACATATACACTTTTTACAGGTCAGTGATATCTCAGTAAAGCTGAGGGGGGAGGCACTTCCCTGGTGGCGCAGTGGTTGAGACTCCGTGCTCCCAATGCAGGGGGCCGGGTTCGACCCCTGGTCGGGGAACTAGATCCCATATGCATGCTGCAACTAAGAGTTCACGTGCTGCAACTAAGGAGGCCACGTCCCGCAACTAAGGAGCCCGCGTGCCGCAACTAAAGGAGCCCGCCTGCCTCAACTAAGACCCAGTGCAACCAAATAAAATGTGTATGGGGTCAGGGGGGAAGAAAGAAAGAAAGTTCTCGAGTGTCATCAATATGGCCAGTCCTGGTCAGATTAATTACTGGAGGAGTAGTGTTATTCATTATTCATTTCTCCAATTATCTATCTAAATATATTTACTACTCTATCTAAATATATTTACTTACTATATTTCCAGCCCTGGTAGGGATATCACAGGGGCAAGACCGATGTGGTTTCCGCCCCAGGGAGCGGGCAAACTTTGGAGAAAGGCACGGCTAACCTACACAAGGCAGCTACAAAAGTGAACATTCAGACCCTTCAAAACGCCCGTCCCAATAATTCTCCACCTAGGAATTCATGCGAAGGAAATAAGAGATCATCAGAAAGGAGATTAATGTGCAAGCGTCAACACGAGTATGATTTATAACAGCAACACACAGGAAGCAACCTAAAAACTCATCATGAGGGCAATGATTATATAAATGATTAAAGTCTTACTCCGTGTGAGATATTAAGCGGTCATCAAAACCACGATTTCAACAAATATGTAGCGCCGTGAGAAAATGCTTACGACATCTTAAGTGAAAGAACAGACGTCAAATCTTGATTTAAGTTATCCCACATCTGTTTAAAATATATTTTCAATAGTAGATATTGTATGTATGTAATATATATATATATATATATATATACGCATAAATAAATACGCATATGATACATTCACTTTCATAATATAGACCTGGGTTTCCTCCAGATTGCATCCCCATAGATCGGGCAGGATTCGGATCAAAGACGGAGGAGGAAGAGAGATGACTTTGAAGGAGCCTCATCCAAAGGAAAGTTTTAGCTGTTGCCGCCACCAAGGGGCAATTTGCATTTTGACAATGTCAAGCAAGGCAGAAACGCCATTCCAGATGAAATTTAAATTATTTTTTGGTTGGTTTATTTCCCCTCTCCAAACCACGAAGTTAAATTCTTGGTGAATTCACCCATAAATTAATTGGCAACGAGGCAAGTCTGTCTTCCACAGCCTGACAATATCCTTCAGCAGAGATGGGTGGGCATACAGCCGACCAGATTTGGGAAGAAAGGGGTTCAAATTTTACCTTCTCATAAAATCCAGGCGAAGCCCAAGGCGAGGTTTAAATTCTGACTTATTTACAGATGTTGTGGAAAAGGAAATTTAAATAAATGCAAAGTTTAATATGCTCTGCTTCCGTTGTGGACTTGTTTTATTTTTTCATTATCATTTATATCGATATTTTATACCGCTCAAAAATTGATTTACAAGAAATTTAAAGCTAAGCCTTCTCTCTTCTTTATTAGGGCCAAAGCCTGCATTTTATCTGAAATGACAGTGTGAAGTTTACAATCCTGTCCCACCATGACTCAAGCAAAATGCAATACAAATTTTGTCTGAAGGCTTATATGGAAAGCCATAAACATCAGCTGCCAGATCCTCATTTTGTCCTCAAACCAGATGTGCCACAAAATATGACAACCAAATTTAGGAGCATTTTATGAAGACGAGAGACTGTCCTTAGACAGACATCCAGGGTCTGAGAAGCTAACGCCCCTACCTTTAGTCCCTAATGTCATATAGCGGCACCATTCTTCTTCCCATTGGCTGACAGACCGTGTGGCCGGAGTTCTGAATGTGAAATGAGGCCCTATTCAGTCTGCTGATTTCCTAGAGGGGTTTCCACCACCCGACTGAATGAGGTGGGTCCTGAGAGCAGAAAATGAGGACGTTGTGCGCTTCCCTGGTGGCGCAGTGGTTAAGAATCCGCCTGCCAACGCAAGGGACACCAGTTCGAGCCCTGGTCCGGGAAGATCCCACGTGCTGTGGAGCGACTAAGCCCGCACGCCACAACTACTGAGCCCACGCGCCACAACTACTGAAGCCCGCATGCCTAGAGCCCGTGCTCCGCAACAAGGGAAGCCACCGCAATGAGAAGCCTGCGCACCGCAACAGAGAGTAGCCCCCGCTCACCACAACTAGAGAAAGCTCGCGCACAGCAACGAAGACCCAGCGCAGCCAAAAATAAATAAATAAATAGAAAATGAGGACGTTTTAGTGAGGCCCGGCTGCAAAGGGCTTCTCATCACTGCCCCCCTTATGAGCCAAGAAGAAAATCAAGTGCAGGTTGACCGAGAGCACAAGGTGCTCCAGACGGATGCCCTGTGGTTAAAGGATGCTCTGACTGGCAGATGGCTCCGAGGAAGCCCCAAAGAGAACTTCGGGGGAAAACTAACAACTTCCCAGGATGAAGCAACTCCCAGGGCGCTGGGAATCCCGGCAGGGACTCTGTGGCCCAAAGTGCGTGGATGGACATCACTGCTGTGCTTGGCACGCAAAAAAATACTCCTGGGCACGTGCCTTTGTCAGGAGTGGAGGGACCTGTAGCTCCAAGATAATGCAGCCCACAGACTCACAAACCTTTCCACTGCCATCGCCAGCCCTACCTGGAAGCTGAGTACCAGTCTTGTGGCTCCTGGTCACCCACCTGAGGGTCAAGGCCTGTGACATGTCTGCAGCTGAGTCTCTTCTCACTCCCACAAGACGACACGGACGTGCACAGCCAGTAATAGAAGGCTCTCCTTCCAGTGGGCCAGATGGCCACGCTCACTGATCTGTCAAAGGGTGGTCCTGAAGAATAGCCGGTAATTTACTGCCACCATGTGGGTACCCCCATGTCCATGGCCATGGTGGCCAGAAGCTACAAGGAGGCCCTTGGAAACATTCATATCCGTTCAGAACGGTGCAGTGGAAGTTGCTTCTGGGATGAAGGAATGAACTAGGAGTTCACTCACACTCGTGTTTTCCTGTCTGTCTCCACCCTGTTTCTGTGTCTTCCTCTGTGAACTTTTGCACTTGCTGGGAAGCTCATCACCCACCTGTGAGCAGAGCAGACTCCTTCCCACCAGGATTTCTCAGCTCAGGAAGGGTTTCTCCAGCCCTGTCCCTGCTCTTCTCTGCATCACAGGAAACTACACTTCCCAAGCTCCTTTGCTCCCTGGCTGCTGGACGCAATGGGATGCTCTGGCAGAAGACGGAGCATGGGAGGTATTTCTCCCCTTGTCTGCCAGCATTTCCTGGCAGAGAAGGTGCCTCTTCTCTGATTCCAGCCCTCTTCACGCTCCCCACCATGGATACAGCTCTCCTAGGCAGTAGTTCTAATATCTACTGGATGGTTCCAGCTTCTGGGTTCTGATAATCCAATTTCCCCACTTTGTCCCTTCAGTCCAATTGGTAGCAGCTTCCTGCTGTTATTAATTTCTGGATTACTTTACCATTCCCAGAAGGTGTTGACCACGCCCGACATGGTTTCGCAGATCTTCCATCACCCGAGTAACTAATTCCCTTGATTAAATTCCCTCTGTGGAAATAACTAGAGTAGTTTCTCTTTTCTTGGCTAAAGCCGGACGAATACATCCAGTCACTAATCACACCTTCCTATTATATTTCTTCAAGGCCACTGTCACCATATGAAATTAGCCTTTTACTTGT